TGGTTCCGGAAATCACCGATCAATCCCATCATTGATGGTGGTTCAAAGGAGATTTGAACCACGCAAGAACCACAATTCGACCACAATCATCATTCTTTCGATCGCAAGCACCGGGTTGTGCTCGGTCTGCTGCATACGTTAGAGACCTGTTGAGAACTGCACTTAGTTCCCCCGTTCAATATACATCCAGCCGCTGCCGTATGTGGCGGCTGGCCTTGGCAAGGAGTCCAGGACGTACGAAGATGCTATGCGATAGTGACCCACATGAGCAACAGTGTTGTCCTACGGGCGGACTATGTCGTACATTCGCATGCATGCCCGCTAGGGTAACTGCTCATACCCCATTGACAGTGATGCGGGGTGAACACGCTTGAAGCAAGTTATACAAGCTTAAGGTCTTCTACTACGACCAGTTGAATCTCGGACAAGAGACCAGACATACTGCTGGGAACCCAAATCATAGATAAGCACCCGCTCAAAAAATAAAAGATTAAGCCAATTCCGCCAGATTTCCGCGGGGGTTCGTCATGACTCCAGGAGGAGGGACCAAATTTCGTAAGGAAATGCACTGAAAATTATCTGGGTGTCGTGCCACTTGGAATGGACGCAACACCCTGCACCTTCGAGGCCTATTTTTGGATACCGGAGGTGTTCGCCGTGTAAACGCTGTGTAAACAAGCACCCACCGGGAATCACTTGCTTCTTGCCATCTCATCTACCCTTGGCGTCGCTCGACAAAGAGTCCAGTTGCTCTGTTCTCCATCGCATTACCAATACCCCGGCTCGGCCCGACCCGAATTTCTTTTCTTTCCGCTGTCAGCAACCCCCTCCAACGAATCCACTTTCTGCCTTCACCACAGTGTATGTCATTATAAAAGTCTCGTGCTAGGGAATATTGAACCTGTCCCTACTAGTGCCGCCAGCCATCCATGCTCAGCGGCCGTGACGCAGATCGCGCCCGTATTGCAGAGATAGATGCCCAGATTCCCGACCTTGAGCGCTACATCTCCGCACTTCGGGTTGAAAAAGCACTAGCTCAACACCGATTGGAGTCCTACAAGTACCCGGTCTTGACTTTACCGGTCGAAATCGTCTCCGAGATCTTCGTCCATTTCCTCCCTCCATATCCCCAATGCCCACCATTTACTGGCATTCATTCCCCAACTCTTTTGACACAAATTTGCCATAAATGGCGAGACATAGCACTGGCTACTGCAGGACTGTGGAGGGCGGTTTCGTTAACCACACAGGGCAATGGCATTCCACGCGAAGAGCAGCTCCAGATAGCGGAGGCATGGCTCAGTCGATCCCGCTGCCCGCTTTCCCTCCGAATAACGGAAGCCGGCCTCAGACTGGCAGTCTTTGCATTAATCTTGGCTCACCGCGAACGATGGGAGTACCTGGAGTTCGATTTCTTCGGATCCGATCCCATCTTTATTGAGGGCATGCCTTTGCTCCGCCATCTGGATTTGTCACTCCACAGTTCCGCTGCTGCTGCATTTTCGTTGCGCACGGCACCCCTACTGCGCTCAGTCATCCTCGGCGTTGACGTTGACGGGGTTGGAATTGATTCAAACATCGATTTACCTTGGGCGCAATTAAAATCCCTAACTTTGTGTTCGTCCCTGACGGACTCCTTTCGAATTTTGCGACAAACTTCCAACCTGGTTCACTGCAGGCTGAACGTTTCCACCGAAGGTGCTCACCCTGAGAAGGGCATCACTCTTCCGCACCTGGAATCGCTGGCCTTGGACAATCCGTGGACGCAATCGCAGGAAACCCAGTTTCTGAACGTCAACACCTTTATCACTCCGGCTCTCCAAAGGCTCGAAATTTCGGAACAGAACCTAGCATCGAATCCGATCCAGTCGCTTGGATCGTTCATATCCAAGTCCGGTTGCCAGCTGCAAGAACTATACATTACGGGCGGTGTTAATGCGTTGTGGGTGAGATCAGTACCGCTGCCCCACGGTCGCTACCGGGCAGAATTTCCCTCTATTCGGACAATCTCTGTGGTCGAACCGGATCCGTGGCCCTCTGTGCGTTCGATGGTTCAGTTGTCATCTCCCCACTCACACCTATGTGCATAGTGAATGGGATCCTCCAAAGACCCGGTGAGTATACCCGGTATTTGGCTGGTAGTATGCTTTCGCTCCTGTTTTCTCTTTCTATTGCTACATCTTCAGGACGTATAACATTTATGTGTACACATGTACACGTCTTGCATTCTCGACTGATAACTTCTGGGCCCGGCGCGTTCAAAACGGAACCACAATTTGCTGTCGGAATCGACCAGCACGCAGCGTAATTGTCAGAGGACCTACTGAAGTCGGGAAATAGAGCTTCGATATTTTCTTGAATAATAATCTTGTTCAGCCTTTCTGCTGAATTTAGGACACGATAAACGGTCTTGGCTGGGAATACGACAATAGATGTGTACATGTCGATTGCAGTTCAACCAGATCCGATGCCCGCAATTCGTACATCCACGCGTAGCCGCAAACCACTGCCAAAAATAGAGACGTGAGCCGGGAGGATTAAGACAGGCGAATATTCAACAGTGGCTCATTTCTCTGCAAGAATGCACTCTTCCTATTAGGTCATTCCGGATCCCTGTGAAACGGAATCAGATAGACATGTTCGCGCAGCCTGGATCCTTAGAGGGGGCAGAGATGCTGCCATACTGGCAGACTGCGTCTGTCTTACGGAAGATCGAGCAAGATTGGTTGGATACATAACCAGATCGGATTATGTCGGAACTAGACGTGGACTTGGGAGGCTCTCTATGCCTAAAATAAGGCCAAGAAAATTCAACCACAGAGTTGACCTTCGGGCCGACCTGCGCCCGTGATGATCAATCACTGATGGCGCCGTGCCGTCGCTTTTTTCTCCTTCCCTCTCGAGCTCATTCCATCCGACTCTCCTCGTCCTCGCCGGCCAAATACTCCTCGAAAATTCAATCCATGCGACTGTTCTCTCTGCTTTTGCGACGACATGGTTAGGCTCGCCGGTTACTTCGGGATGGACACCGCTTGGGTTCCTTGCATCAAGCGAAACTGTCGCAAAAGTCCGTTTTGAGTTATAAGCCAAGATAGGTCCTTTCTGAAGTCTATAGGCAAGCGGGCATACTTATAAGGCCTTATAGCCACTTATAAGCCCTTATTTCCACTTATAAGCCAAAAGGACCCCCCTCTCATTGCATTCCAAGTCCCATTTTGCTCACCTACACATAGATTGAGTTGAGCCTGGTCTATAAGACTCAAAAAGGACTTATCTTGGCTTATAAGCCAAAAGCGACTTTTGCGACAACAATTAGAGCTGGAGAAATCGTCAAGGAAACCGCAGACAAGTAGGGCGGTGCCTTACCACCTTGCCTTCTCCCTTCGCCATGAACGCCATCCGCGCATCGCTGTACATCGTTTCCTCGAGCTCAGTGCGTTGGAAGGGAACAATCACGTCCTAGAGTTGAATCTCGTCGACCCTGGACTCTGTCGGACCTCGATGTGTGGTGGTGGAAACCGCCAACATTCCAATTCTATATGGCTTCACAGCAATCCACCATGACGGGTATCGTTGTCAATGGCCGCTGCGGCGGCTCGAGTAACTATAGCAAAAAGCTACACCGCAATCGCTGGCACCGGGCGCTTATCTAGCCTGTCCGCTGCTCTGTGCTCAGTCCTCCATGTCCTCCCCTCCAATTCCAGCGGCTCACGATGAGCACCTATCCTCTGGGCTCTGTGCTTTCAGTACCGAGTTGCAATTTCGACTCCACGTCCGTTTTGGTCGTCGACGCCGACAGGAGGCGCCACCGTCGTACTCTGCTTCCAGGAGCGGCGAGAAGCGATCACCATTCGGATTGGGTGACCACGAAAAACCGGGGGCAGCACGCGGCGGTCCTGTCCGCGTGAATGAAATCTCCTCTCCTATGACTCTGCGAGGCTGGACCTCCATGAACTGGCTGGTGTTGACCGATAAGGAATTAAATTTACATGTCTCTGCGGTTCGTGCACAGATCCTCACCTCCAATCGTAACTCGGATATCTGATACACGACTTCTTTCGCAGAACAAGCCCCCACGAGCCGTTATACCCGTGTCTGATATCGAGAGTCTGGAACGCTCCGAATTCAAGCCGCACGGGCTTATTCTTGAGACGCAGGAAAAGAAGTACATGCTGCGGTTCAAGAACGATAATGATTTATATGGTGCATTCAAGGTCGCTCCGCTCCTTCCGTTTCGCAAATTAACTCTGTTGAATAGGCTGGAGGGATGCGATTTCCTATCGCACAGCGGGTGTCAGCGAGCCGGTTCCGCGCAGCTTTTGCCACCATGTTCGTGTCGGCTGGGACCATACGAGCCACAAGTATACCGTGCGTTGAATTCCTTTTCTCGTCGGGGTGCAGTAAAATATTGATGATCAATCCAGGGTCTTCCCCTCGAGTGGGCGGAAGCGCTCAAAGTCCATTCAGAGGCTCGGGGACAGTCGCACTCCAACTTTTCCGTCACTCTGCCGATGAACGATTGGCGTACCGGCCCGCCCCTTTTGCATTATCGGATGTGATCGAGTCGGGACTTGGGACAACGAAACCGTGTCATTGAATCCAGGATGTGGTGAAGTCATTCAGAAGATCAATGATGAATGGAGGTACGGGGGACATTTATGTCAATGCATTTCGCGGGTTTTTGTGTTGGACATCCCAATAAGTAGCTGGAAGGGTCCTAGGTTCAACGTTCAACGTTCAACGTTTAGGACGGATCGTGTTCAATCGAGAATACTATCGTCCTCCGTCGAATTGTAGCTCCAGGCCGCTACAGTGGGGCTTAGATTTCTATTCTATCGCTCGCCTTGATTGGGATGTCGACTTGAGCCGTACATTTGTCGACTCCCGGTCAGTTAGCAGGAGATTCAACACGAGTCGTAACTAAAGCACCTCCCGGTCATGGTCCGGAGACAGAGACGGTATACAAGTCTACTGAGCTCCCACCATGAAGGGAAACATAAGGCCTGGTGGTTTAATGGTAGCACATCCTCTTTCAGTACCCAATCTTTCTTGTGGTTTCCAGAGGACGTTCCTCGTTCGATTCGGGGTCAGGCCATGGCCGCACTCGTTGCATATTTTTGTTTTTTCTCTCTCCCGGGTGACGTTTTACTGCCGGCAAGGAGCTGATGCGCTGAATACAAAGGCGTGTCCTAAGTAGAGAGAAAAAAGTTGAGATTCTTAATTCCCGTTACCGTTAGGTAAGGGTTTCTATAGGGCGCCTGATTTTTAGTTTTGAGAGTAAATCACATTTTCGTCAGCAGTTTTTGCGTAAACTGATCCCACTCTTGAAAATGCCTCCTAGCTCTTTCGACCTAGCACATTCTGAACTGCATGAGACTTTTCCTTGTCTGCACTTCAACTTGTAACTGGTTCTCTGGGGCTTCGTCGCAATTCGATCTACTGATCCGGGATTTGTCCTGAACGCTGCGAACACGCGCGAGGATTGTTTTGCACACACTATGAAGCCAAGGCACGCACCACTCGCGCCTCTGGACACCGAAGCTTTGACACGACGGGAGGATTAGCCCCGAAGGAAACCACCAATTGTTTACTTGGGACGTGTCGACCTCATGCTTGCGAAATATCGCCGGACCCAGTGAGGACGCAGACGTTATCCCAATTATGTGAATTCCAGGTTACCTTCATCCCCCAAATGCTCAATTTGCACAAGTCGTCCATCATTGCGCTCTTATTCACGGAAACTGGAAACATGCCTGTAAGACTCTGCTACTTACTCTTTGTTGTCAGCCATCTCCGTTATCTCGTTGACCTCGATGATCTTCTTGCCCACGCCATGTCGAATACTTCGACGGCAAGGGCAAAGATCATGTGCTCAAGAGTTAATGGAAGCTGCAAAGGAGTCACCATTCCAGTGCCCTGAGCTAATTCTCCCGCGTCAAACTAGATGATGTCAAAGAGTATAGCGAACTTGCGCAAAAGCTTAGGCAGGAATGGTTACATGCGTAGTCTTTAAGGCTCACTCGGTTTGGACGTGCTAATCTTTTTTGCTTCTCTGGGTTCTTTTAGTTCTACCGCGGCGAGTGCTGACGTTTCGACCGACGGCTGCGACCGTGAGCTCGGCTATGGGGATACAGGGGGGTCCAGGGACGATGATGTAGCTATATTAGTGCGTGTACATCGGGATACTTCCTGGAAACCGGCGTTCCTGAGCGGGACCGTGCCGTGTAATGCTACCTACCTACCTACCTACCTACCTACCTTGATCTCTCCGCCAAAAATCCTTCGGCCATCTCAATTCGGCGGCGCAGCCGATGATTGCCACCTGCAAACATATAATCTTGCTTAGGTTATGGCCCGATCCTGTCGGTCTGTTTCAACATCAAGTTCTTAAGTGAAACTTCAGTATTGGGGCATGGACTGTTGCAGTTGTGCTCACAGTTATCAGGATCTATGGTCTAATTGTATCAACATTCCTGTTTCCTCGATGATGTGTTGGAGGCAACGACTATTTAAACTGGTTCAACGTGGTCGCGGGCATCTCGGGCAGGTTGCAAATAGCTAATAATTGGAGTACAAAACAGCGAAAGATAGGTCATTTCTACGAGCAGCTGCAGTGACTTGATGTATCTGACCGGTTGGTTGCCAACCAATTTTCAGGCGGCCGCCGGCAATATTAATGCAAGAGCGTGAAACGGAACGTCGAGACGAAAGAGGTGAGGAACCACTCATTTTGGTGGAGGAAGTGGTTGACACAGATCAGACTTTGTATTCAACCACTCGCTGCACTGTCGGGGTGGTGCATGGCACACATACATCAAAGTCCCTGGTTAGTTATCGCGATTGCAAAAGCAAAAAAGAAGTGTTGTTACCGCGGGCAAGACAACTGGCTGGTGCGATGTTGAGATTTTCAACACTGCCATCACAGCAGATGCATGGCTTGCATATACACAGTCAGGCCTCATCTTAATGGTGAGGGAGGAAATCACTCTGTATTAAAAGACGAAAGCAACGACCAGTGACATGGAATAATGGCCTGGTTTGCAAGGCGGCTCGGTTAATTTGAGTCTACCTTGTTGAAGATATCTTGTAGTTCGGCTAAACGTAGTGGGAAGCTGCACTCACACCTGGACTATATCAACATTATACTCAGCAGAGCTCCAGAATTTAGGGCAGAATAGTCTCGTGAGGTGGCCCAATGCGAGCTGGTTGACGCGTGAGCGTCGACCGAGCGAGTCTTGGGCCGCGCCACAAGTCCTTCGTGCAATTCAAGTTGAATTCGGATACCTTCTGGCCTTCCTTGGGAACGGAATTCGGTAACGGGCTCTGCCGCTTGTCGGCCTTACATGCTTTATTTCAACCACAGGTTGACTTTCGGGCCGAGTTTGCGCGAGCGTGATGATCAATCACTGATGCGTGGCTGTTCTTTCCCAATTTTTTTTTTCTCGCTTGTTCCCTTCCCTCAGCGTCGTCCATTTATATCGCTCCTCCTCCTTGCCTCTCGCTAGCCAACTATCGCTCGGCTCCAACTCGTTTGAAGACTTGATACCAACGCCTGGCCTCGACGTTCACCGCAGCTGATACACCCTGGACCTTTCCTGAAGTGCAATCCCCGTCAGCGGTGGCAGCAGCCCATTTCCGTGTCCCTGTCCCACACCTCGTGTAAGCCTCTTCTCTCTCATCTCATACCCCGTCTCTCCTTCCCACCGCCTGTCTGTCATGATTACACCGTTTTAAATTAGACTACGAGTGCTCGTTGCACGCCGAGTTAAAAACCACTGCAATATTTTTGTAGCTGAACCCCTCCTTGCCCCTCCTCATTTTTATTTCTGTGATCTGTGGAGCAATTGCTGACCGCTATCCGCTTCCTAGGCTTGTGGCACCTTGTGCGGCCCACGACTGTCGAGGTGCGATGCACGGGGGAACGGTCATGGTCACGGTGAGTGAACTTCTCTTTCCATGTCTACACGGAGCCCCGTTGCTTCATATATGATCCAAATATCGATGTATTCGCCGTTGCATAGACCCGTATCGAATGCGACAATATTTGCCGTGATATGTTTGCAGGGTCTCGACAACCACTGTCGACGAATCTGTGGTCCTGGCGCGCGTCCAAAAGCACCAAAACAGCGGTCGAGGGTCTTAGAGATCCAGACGTTTCTCGAGCTCTCAATTCAGGCAACGGCTGGGACCGTGTCCACCATCGAACTTTGGGCGTTGGATGCCGCATGCCAATTGCAATGGTTTAATTGCACGAGGATTGTATGTTGGACTTGGATATCGATTGTCATCGCGCCTCGACGTTCCTTTGCTTTAGACGAAATCTGCCCTGCTCCAGCTGCTGCGTACGATTAACATTCTACTGCAGCTACAGCCTTAAGCTTTCCGACACTTGAAAATCTGTGACTATGCATAATTCTCGTCAGCCAAGCAGCACGATGAATTCGCGGCCTCGAGACGAACAATGACCACATTGGCACGGATGGACACCGTTTCGAGTTCGTCATTGAGTAAGAACAAGGCATAGTAGTACTATTACTACTACAGCTGGGATAGATTTCTATATCTACTCTATCTATTATCAATACGTTCCTCTTGCTCTCAATCTCCTCGCCCACCGCCCCTTGCCCCCATCCCCTCCAAACCTATCCTCCCCATCCCCTCCAAACCTATCCTCCCCATCCAAGTTGCCATCCTCGCCATCCCTCTCGCCATCCCTCTCGCCATCCCTCCCCAGCCCCCCGCTCAACTCGACCAACTGCTCCGAAAACTCGCGATACCGTCTAATCGTCGCCGCCCTCGACAGCTCGCTGCCCAGCGGTTGCGGCAGCACCGGCCGCGCCGGGAACGCCGGCTCCCTTCCGCGCTGCAACGTCGGGATTGGCTGATTATACAGCGCGTACGGCGACTGGGCGGAGAGGGAGAGCGCGAGCGCGGTGTGCAGGGAGGAGTCGGAGTGCGCGCGGCTCAGGCGCGGGAACGCAGGCTCTTCGTCGGAGGGGGGAAACGACGGGGATGGGGGGAAGCCGACCATGCTACGGCGCACGGAGAGCGGGTATAGCCCGCCCCCGCTGCCGCTGCCGCCGCCGCCGAGGGGCCAGACGGTCATGGAGGTGACCTCGGAGAAGCGCCGCCCCGTGCGCGGCGTGGGGTTGTCGATCGGCGCGACGAACACGAACGGCGTGTGCGGGCCCGCAGACTGCGCTGTGCCGTCCGCATCGGCGACGAGGATGAACGGCGACGCGGGGAGCGAGCTCGCCTGGCGCGCCGGGGGGTCGTCGTCGTCGTCCGCGAGATGTAAGGTGCGCGGGCGGTGCCGCCGCGTGAAGCTGATGGAGCGGAAGAGCGCGCGCGGGATCGGCGCACCCGCGAGGACGTCCACGCTCGCCGAGGCGGGCTCCGTCTCGAACGCGGCGCCGAGGATCTGTTTGAAGCTCGTCGGCGGGACGTGCCGGAAGGCGCTTGGTGGGGGCGCGCCTGGGGGTGGGATGAGCGGCGCGCCGTTGTCGACGGAGGGGTTGTACATGCGGGGGGTCAGCGCGGAGACCTCGTGCCATTCATGCAGCTCGTCGTCGCGCTCGGCCTCCGTGTCGGTGTCGGCGCCGGGGGAGTCCTTTGAGCGCTTGCGGGCGAAGAGGGATTTCGCCTTTGCGACAGAAGAGGAGGAGACGGTGCGGCTGAGGCGGGAGCGCTGCTCCCGGATCGGGGGTAGAGCGGGGAGGGGTTTGGGCGGGGTAGTGTCCACCGTGGCTTGCACTGGCGTTGTTCGACCCGAGGATGGGAGGCTGAAGACGGCGCGGGCGCGTGCCTTTTTGGCGGAGCTCGAGGCGGACATGTAGCCCTCGTCCGTCTCGTACCCATCGCCCGGCGAACTGGGCGAGCTCGCGCTCGATGAACTGCTGGATTTCCTTTTGGACAACCGGATGCGCTTGGGGGAGAAGTTGAGGCCAAAGGACTTGATTGAGGACGATGGGCGTGCTCTGCTCGGCGTGGTCTTCGTCGGCATTGCCTCCTCCGCATCGGACTCGATATAGAAGCCATGTCTGTCCCTGGCCCCGTTGGCAAATCGGACAGTGTCCCGAGGTGAGCGCCAGGCCA